CTACCCCAACCCCAAGTATGGCTTCCTTACAGAGTGTTCCCTTGGCAGGAGGAGAGCAACCTGCCAGCTGCCCATTGTGCCTTGTCCTGCTGGGAGGTCAGCCCTGGCTTCCTCCCACCCCCACCCCTGCTGACAGTCAGCTGTGCCACTCACCAGGGCTGGGCACAGAGCCTATACCAGGTGCCAAACTGGGCCCAAAGGTACCAAGGCTCTTCCACACTCCCTCCCTCATGCTCAGATCACATTGGCCAAAGTACCTGCCTAACTGCAGGGGCCTGGGGCCTGGGCTTGTCCTCTCTGTATGCATTTCCTCATTTGCAGGCCAAACAGGCAGACATCTATGTTTCCCCAAACCCAAGATTTTGGCTAGTGCTGCCTTCCTGCCTGCAAAGGAAGAGCAACTCTTAGGGTAATCCCAGAGCCCAGCCAATCTCGCTCTCTCTCTTGAAAGAGTGGTCTGTAAAGCAAATTTTTCAGAATGTAATTATTAGTTAATTGTAAAATTTTAAACATTCAAATAAAAAATTTCTGATTTGGATAGAGATAGGATTTCAAGTCTTACAAGCAACAGAAGAAATCAAACATAAAAATGATCAATAAATTGTACCTTCATGAAACCCTAACTTTTTATCAAAAGATCAAAAATAAAATCGTAAGTGAACCTGAGAAGAAATTTCAATGCCAAACATGGCAGAAAAAGAATATCAACAAACTAATAAAACAACCAAGCTCTTAACAATAGCAAGTTTTTATGTTGTACTTTGAGCCAGGCCCTGTTCTGAGTCTTTTATACATATTTACTTATTTAATCCTTATAAGCAACACTATGGGAAAGATACTAGTATTACTCCTGCTTAACAGATGGAGCAATGTAAACACAAAGCCCAAGTATCAGTGAGATGACAACCTAACAAATGGCAGAGCTAGGATTTGAACCAGGGTCATCTGGCTCTTGGGTGTGTACACTTAAACTTTTTTTACACTAACCAGGAAAGACAGGAAGCAAGCCAGGCACAAAAACGGAAATATAAACAACTGAAAAGCATGAGAATTATGTTTCAGTTTCAGTTGGTAATCAAAGTACAAATTAAAACCATGAGATACCATTTTTGCCTTCAAATTAAACAAGATTTTTTAAATGTTATAATATCAATAAATATGGCATTGTAGGAGTGAGACAGAGACTCCCACAGACTGCTGAAGTTGTTTTCAAGTGGCTTTTCTGAAAAGTATTTTGGAAGTACTCAAAACAGTCCTCAGGAGTCACAAGGATATCTACGTTCTTTGACCAGGAATTCCCATCCTAAGAATCTAATTTGAGAAAATAATTAGAGCAACAAAGATTCATGCATAAAGATGTTCTTAGCAATGCTATACAAAATAATGAAAAATTAGAAACAACCTAAGTATCTGATAATAGCAGACGGGTTAAATAAATTGTTTAATCTTCATAATGGGCAATTAAGCAGCCATTATAACTAAATTTGTATAACAAAAGACACCATAAACAAAATGAACAGACACACCACCAACTACTGGGAAAAGATATTTGCATTGTACATAACAACAGGGAAGATTCATATCAAAGGGATATACAAAGAAAATTTACAAATCAATATGAAAAAGGCTAACAACCAAAGAACAAACAGGCAACGGATGTTAAGTAGGCAATCCTTAGAAGACTTGGCTAATACAGAAATGTTCCCTCTTACTAATAGGGAAATGCCAGCAAATTAAATGCACTTATCAGAATAGCAAGAGTGTAAAGGCAAAGATAGAGAAACAAATTCATATCCATTGTTGGAGGGAGTGTAAATGGCTATAGTCACTTTGGAAAACAAAATAAAATGTGATCCTCTTATGACTAAAAGATACCTCTTCTGCCAGAAAACGTGTTTGAAGATGTTCATTGCAGTACTGTCTATAATAGTAACCATGTTAAGATCATCATTATATCATATTATGTATGATATAGCATTGCATCATTCAGTAACAATAATGATTCTATTAAGGAGCTGTCCATCCCAAGGGAAATAGGATTTTAATAATGAGATATTATATACAGTTGAAATTAAGATGAATGAGCTAGATCTGTAGCTATCAGATTAAATTTCTAGATCAATGTTGAATATAAAGAGAAAGAGGGAATGAAAACGATTTCAGCAGAAATCAGACAGGACTTCAGGAAGACCTAGCAGAGGAGACCCTCAGCACAGACAAAGGAGTCTAGAACCAGGGAAAACTGCCAGATGATCTCTGTCTTCCTCCAACCAGACTGAACTCCAGAGCTGCCTGTGCTCTTATGCTCAGATAAGGATCCCCAAAGGCCACCAAGGAGCCAAGTCCAACGTAAGCACATGAGAGTCAAGCCTGAACTCACAACCATCACCAACGCAGCGGGTCAGAGTTGAGAGCCCTGACCCTTCCTCTAGCAGGGTTTTTATAGAGTTTTTAGGGACTTCTATGTGTCATTGCAACACTTAACAAATTATATCACACCATGGGAAAATCATAAAATAATTCTAAAAGATGATTAGTGTAACCCATGGTGGGAACCGACCAGAAATTGGGGATTGGCTGGTTCATGGGGTTGATGCTCTTCGAAATGATTGGCTATAGCAGATGGTCCGAGCCGTGACCCAGTGGTCTTTAACTTGCAGGAACATCTGAAAGTTTGGGTTTTTCCTGTTATCTACTGATTAGCTATAGTGGAATTCACCGTAGAGGGTTGTTCCTGGAATTTGGGCTCAAGGGGATCAAGGGCAGTTGCTGACACATTTCCCAGACAAAATGGAATCCAAACCTAAAATTGCTCTATTTTGTTCAGGTTTCACAGTGACTATGATTGCTGATTTCTGCGATGGCTCTACTGGGTTTAAGTTAGATAGGGCTGGGAATGTGGCTTATTGGTGTAGTGCTTGCTTAGCAAGCACCTGGGTTTGATTCCTCATACCACATAAGCAGAAAAGGCTGGAAGTGGTACTGTGGCTCAAATGGTAGAGTGCTAGCCTTGAGCAAAAGTTCAGGGACAGTGCCCAGGCCCTGAGTTCAAGCCCCAAGACTGGCAAAAAAGAAGAAGAAGAAGAAGAAGTTACATGATCTCAGGGCTTCAAATCTGGAGGACCCTAATCCCCACCCAGCCTAGTGGTCTTCAGAGTCTGATATGATTAATACTATTTTTGTAAATCTTTAAAGCAAACTAAAAACCTTTTATAATATTCATTGAATTATATATGACTTTAAATATACATATTTATATATCGAACAAGAGTGCAAATAGTGTCCATAGACTTCAAAATAGTAGTTACTGCTGGGAAAGATGGAGTGAGAGGGACAGAGGATGGGCTTAACTGTTTTTTTTTAAGGAAAAGTTTGAAGCAAATATGGCAAAATGATAACAGTGTTATAAAGTTCAGTGAAGAGATGTGTATTTCTCTTATTTTCTGTACTTTTTTGCATATTGAGCTATGTCCAAATTTCAAGCAAATTTCTTTACATTTGTTTTCTTAATAACTTGCAATTTCCTGGAAAAGTGTTTGTGTTATAATATATGAGTGGAAAAAAACAGGACAGAAATATATAGCATATTACAAATAAATATAGAATGGACTTACAAACTTTTACAAGTAAAAGGTTTAGGCACATTATATAAGAATTCATAATAGTAAGCAAGACTATAAGTCTGCTTTTTTTTTTACACTCATCCATATTTTCTATTGTTTTTTTTCCTAAGGAAGGGGTGACAGTGCTCAATAGGAAATTACTCACTACCTTACTCATGTAACTGTAACCCCTCTGTACAGTATCTTTACAATAAAAATACATATTAAAAAAGAAAAAATTAAAACAACCACAGCAGAATGTGAAGGAGTTTAGTCTGTAGGAGAGGGGACAACACTCAGGAATTGGCCTGATAAGGTGGCAATATCCAGGGCTGTCCTTGGCCTGAGGTCGACTCCTGGTTTGGCTCCTTTTGAGCTTGTTCACATTTTTATTCTAGGCACTGTACTAATGACACAGCAGTGAACAAAATATACATACTCCTTTCCTCACCACCGAGCATATAAGTCAACAAGAAAGGAAAACACATCCATCACATCCTTTCATCTCTTCCTAGGTGTTACAACTTCTCCTAGGGCTAAGCTCCCTTTCATTAGCCAGTGGTTGTTTTCATTTGTTCTTTTGTATCATATACCTCTGCACAGATCACACATCTTTACAAGGTACACAATCCTTATGAGGATAAAGTACCAGGGCAATAATAAGAATCCAGTCTGGAATGTGTGGACGTGAGTACGGCATCTGAGAGACATTGAGACTGGAGTCAAAAGAAGGAGGAGATCTGAAATCCCCCAAAGTAAAGTATTTGAGAGAAATGAAGGCTTTGCAGGACACAGTTAAACTGTGAGTTCTCAGTTGTGATGAGGGAGAGGGAGAATTGTGCAAGTGAGACCAGCAATAATCAGAATCCAGGTCACAGGCCAGGGAAATGTTCTGTACGTGCCATGGGGAGTCATTGAAGGTTTTGAAGCAGGAAGGTGTCATTCACCATGGCCAAGGATCACCTTGTGCTCCAGCTAAGAGAAAACAGTAGTCTGAGGAAGTGTGGTATCAAAGGAAGATGGAGTATTGTGCAAAAGATCTGAGAGATGGAGGTAGAGTTAGCAGGTCTTGGTGATGGGTTATATGGGAATAATAATGAGTAAAGGGCTAAAGAGAAAAGCCAGGTTTGAGGCATGAACAGTTATGGGTGGTGAGGATGGGAAGTATTGAAATGGAGAGGCAGCAGCATGGGGACAGTGACATGCCACCAAGGGTTGAGCTTCAATTTTGTCATGTATGTGCTGGGTTTGATGATTCCTGCACACTATTATCTAAGTCCACTTTTGCAAGCCTCCGAGTGTTGAGCTTTAGTGTCTTCATGTATGTGATAGGTTTATGATGATTCCTTCACCCTATTGTCTAAGTCTACTTTTATGTATCTTTTCTCTCTTTTACAGGTGGAGCATGTTACTCCTGGGGCTGGAATGAGCATGGCATGTGTGGTGATGGCACTGAAGTCAATGTCTTAACCCCAAAGCCTGTGCAGATTCTGCCGTCAGCAGCAGGACTCCTTGTGGGCTGTGGGTCTGGCCACTCTCTGGCCCTCTGTCAGCTACCAGCACACAGTACACTGGGACAGGACTACAAAGTCACCCACGCTTCCCCAGATGCCACTAAGGACACCAGCTCTCAGGAAGCTGTGGACAAAGAGGGCAGCTGCAAGGAAAGACAATCAGGATCTCCCCCCCAAAGCCAACCAGACAGGTCCAGAAATGGGGGGCTATGACAGAGAACTTTTAATAAAGGACCTTTGCCCATCCAAAGTTTTACCAGAGAATCACTTTATTAGGGCATGGTGTTGGCTTGAAAAGGGTACAAAAAGCCCAAATGGTTGGGGTTTCTACAAACCAAATCACTAATAGGCTGCTTGCATAAGGTCCAGGCTCAAGAAAAAACAAAAACAAAAAACATTTTTCTATTCAGGATGTGAATGAGGGGCTAGATCTTCACCAAAGGAAAAAAAAATGTGGAAAGCTAAGACTAGAGCGAAGAAGCCTTTTGCTTTCTGGGGTAAACAGAAAACCACTCCTAGCCCATGGTGGTTCTGGTCCGATAGCCTTTGACTCAGCAAGACAGAGGGCCCTAGGCCACTCAAAGCAGCCATGAATCTCTGGGCCCATAGCTTATAGTTTCCTGTTTTAAGATACTGAGATGCTGAGCTTTGGAAAGGAAAATATTCTTGTCTTTAATGACTAGGCTCAAGGGAGAAGACTGTGGAGCTGAGAAGTGTGAGGGGGGTGTGAGAATTATTGGGGAAAATGGATAAGACTTCAGAAAGACACATCAGAGGAGATTCTAGCATAGACAAAAAAGTCTAGAACCAATGAAACTGTCAGATGATTTATGTCTTCTGGCAACCAGACAAGACTCTGGAGCTACTTGTACGACTATGTTGAAGTCTATGATGGCTTGGCTCCAGTGGCTTTAGGAAATTGCATAATCCCAGGACTTCAAAGCTGAAGAGCCCCTAATCACCACTAAACCTCTAGAGGTCTTGAGTCTTAGGGGTATCCTGCAAATTCTGTGGCTACCTTGTAGATTCTTAAGAAGGGAGGCCAAGTAGACAACTGCATTTCTACCTTCTTGAAGACAACTTTAGTCCTCTTGCTACTCAACACCTCTCCCAAGGCCTATTTGTGAGCATCAGAAAGAAGTGTCTCAGCACTTCTTCACAACCTAAAACAGGGTGAGGTCTCTTGGTATATCAACCCTAAGCCCTAGATCTGGAACCTAAACTCTTAGCTCAGTCAGATCATTATTGGAGCAGGTATGATGCAGATGGTCTATATGTGGAAGAGTGAGTGGATTTTGGCACTTGGAGTCCCTATAGACCATCCCATTACCTCAAGTTCCTCCATTTTACCCTTCTGTACAGAGTATAGACAGAAGGTCTTTACCCAGGTCACTTTACTAGCTGGCTTTGTTAAGTGTCATATGATAAGTAAGAAGGTATTGATATTAACAAGTGTCTCCTAGAATTTTTTTTCTCCACCCCTTGATTGTTACTGGTTATTCTCAGACTTTGCAGATGTCAAATCCCCATTCCTAACAAAAATCAAGGGACGGGGCTTGGTCAGTTTGGGAACCCACTCACCAAGTGCCCAATATATAAACACATGTTCCTCCCTGAGGGACTTCATCAGGTAGAGAGGTTGAATCAGTGCGCTCTCCTACCATAGTTCACACTTATCTTCTGTTTTATCCCACTTACAAATGTTTGAGAGCCATGCTGTTAGTCTCTTAGCCACTGTCCAGTTCATGTCAGTACCATCCATCTCTAGGCTCATTAGAGACATAGGAACTAACTTGAGAAAATACCCAGTCATTAAAAAAAATATTTTTCCTGATCAACTGAATTACCTTCATAATTCTCCTGGATAAGAAGGAAGAAAGGGAAGAGAGGCATGAACTGCCTATGTGCCTTGGCCATCGAGTGATAGTTGAATGGCGAAAGTGAAAAAAACTGGTGGAAAGTCTCCATATGTACAGCCGTCACTCTCCCCTCCTGATCGCAGGTACATCTTCCCTGGCATCTTCACCACCTCTGTCCTTGTGGGCAGTGAGGTTCCTCTGATGATGAACTGGTAATGTAGGAATGATGGATCCCGGTGTGTGGCTCCAAATGAGGCCCTCCCACCATGCCCACAGCATCTCCCACTTCTGATTGAAGGTGGCTTCGTTGTCATTGTGAAGTTAAGTTAGCAATCAAAGTTACTGGAGCAGTGTGTCAGAGGGAGGGCGATTCAGATTAAGGGTGACTGGAGTATCCAGGGAGATGGGTGTGTGGAAGGAGGTTAGGGAGGCTGATAGCCTCCTTGTCAGCCAGTTGAAGGGGATCTGGGTGGGAAACTTGAAACAAGATGTGAGTTGGCCCCTTCTGCCAAACCCATGGTACCATAAGGAGGAGGGCAGGAGACTAAATCCTGGGGCTTCTGAGATTTAGTACCAGCAAGTCTAGTCTTCCTGTTAATCCCACCTCTTAGCACCAGTCACAGGAACTCTCAGTTAGTAAGGGACAGCTTAGTCTGGTCTGGTTAACTAGACCACCTGGGTTAATATCCTGACTTCATCCTTCATTGGCTATGTGGCACTGGGACACTTTACCTCTCTCATCTTGTTCTCTTGCCTCTGAAATAGGCACATTGAATTGCTGTGAGCTATCATTAGACAATGTTAGTAAGATGCCTCCCCCCCACAAACATAGTAGATGTTCAGTGTATATTTTTCTCCATTAATTACCCTGCCCCTAGAACCCATATCCCAGGTGGCTTTGTGTTTTTTAGACTCCTCTTGTGCTGGTAGATCCTTGGTTTACATAAGGATTACCCTTCCTGCAGTAACCAAGGCAGTTTGGCTAGTGCATCCTTAAACTTATAAATGGTTATTACAACCTCTTTAGTCACTTAACCCCTAAACAAAGGTTCCACCAACCCCATGCTCTTGCTGCTTGGACTTCACAGGGCAAATGTTTAAGCAGAGATGAAAACCTGAGATAAAAATTCAGGACCCCCCTTAACCTCCCACCCATCCTTCAGATCACTGACACAGGCCACTTTGGAACTGTTAAGGGATATGAAATCGGGGGAACTGATACCCACTTGTTCATTTTCCTGGGTAGATTGCTCCCCTTTATGAGCATCATTTATCCCTCTGTAAAATGAACAGAGGTTAACAGGTACCTGTGGCTTGCTCATGCCTGTAATCCTAGCTATTCGGGAAGCTAAGATCTAGGATCATGATTTAGAAGCCAGCCTGGGCAGGAAAGTCCATGAGACTCTTTAGTTAAGCACAAAAGCTGGAAGTGGAGCTGTGGCTCAAGTGGTAGAGCCCTAGAATTGAGCACAAAGGCTCAGGGACAACACCCAGGCCTGGGAGGAAGGGAAGGAAGAGGAAAAACACGGCAAGAGAAGGGGTGACATTGTCCAAAAAAAAAAATGTACTCTTTACCTGATTCATGTATCTGTAGCCCCTCTGTATATCACCTTTATAATAACAATAAAAAATGTTAATGCACAGAGGTTGACTTCCATGAGTTCTAAAGCATCTTTCTATCTGAACATCTCTGGAGTCTCACTACCACCCCTTAACTTGAGTAATTCAAACAAATCAACATTCCCAGGAGAGGACGCTACCAAAGTATCTCTGGGCTGAAGAAGGGTCTTCAGGGAGGTGCTCCTCAGACCTAGCCCTGCAAGAATACAGCTGGTTAGGAACTCAGACCTGGCAGACCCCAGTCTCTGGTTCCATCAGATTCAACAGTGGCCCTAAGAGGGAGGTCGCCATGGTCTGCACAGGGTCTCTGAGTGCTCTGACACAATCACATTCAAGGGTTTATCAATAAGATATGATTCAGGGAGGAGTTTCCACATTGGGTGACCAGCCAGAGGATATGCTGGTCTTAAGACCAACACTTCACATGCACCATGCTTTCTGAGAGCTTCTTCCTTCCCCCAAGCCCACTAACAGCATCTGCAGCCCAGAATGCCACCCTACCCAACTGTCCATCAGGGGTCAACTTCCTTTTTAGGACCTGGCTTTCCTCCAGCAAGACTGCAGTATTAGTCATAGTCCAAGGCTTAGCCCAGCCCAGCTCAGCCCAGCCATAGTAGACCATAGGCCCCCAACAGAATCTTGACACTGCCTGAAGGCAATAAAAACCCAAATCCATGCTTCATCTCAAAAGTCAGCCTTTTATTTCCAGGGCCCGGGCCCAGGGAGGGGAGGTTGTTGAGCTAAAAGCATCGTTGCTCTCTTTCCAGGAAATGTTGTGAGCTGCAGCGAAAGCTTGAGATGTTGCATTTTTTTCAACTCAAGCATGTGTTTTTTCAAAAATATCATCTCCCCCCCCCAAACTAATTTTAGAATCAGACCAAAGCCAAGCTACTGTCCTCTGTTTCTGTTGGGAAAATACTATATTTATTCGAGATGCAGCAGCATGTCTCTGCAAACCTCCAATTGCTTCAGGAAAACAAATCTGCTTTAGACTATACAGAAACCATGATACAAAATTTATTTCATGCTCGAATTGCTTTGCATAACATTGGGCATGCAGGGTTGTTGTTGTTGTTTTTTTTTAATACTCTGAAGAACTAAATCGCATACAATGCCAAGTTGTACCTTAATGAAGATGGAGGACGTTGCCCCTCCAATGGTCCTGAACTTTTGGTGCTCTACATCCTGGTTTTAAATAACACTTGGAGAATCCATACGGTGTTGATTATTTACTATGAACAGTTGGTTATGAAAGTTGGTCACACTGGATCTACAAAACCGCTAAGATGAGCGAATCAACCTAAACTAACCGCTGTCAGGGATCTTGGGGAAATGTCCGCTGGGTCACAAGCATGCCAAACAGAGGGAAGAAGACAGCAGTGCGAGTTTCCACGATTCTATTTGGAGCAAAGTTCTTGGTTTCCACATGAGAGATGAACTATGGAGGTGAGGTCAATATGACCGATGACTGACCAACTGCCCTTTTTAGAACTGTTACTCTTGATCTTGTATACAAAAAAAGAGAGGATGCAATCCATTCCCCATCCCTGTTTTTCCTCCCCGGCCCTCACTTCCAGAAACGTACAGGTTTCTAACGCACGCCATTACAGTTTGGCTCCAACAATGTGTGTAAAAGTAAAGAGCTCTGAAAGAAAATATAGGACTTTTTCTTTTCTTGTTTCTTCTTTTTGTTAGTGTTGTTGTTTAGAGTAATCATACAGTTGCAGGGTGTTGGTGGGTTTGGTTTCTCTGGGTTTTCTGTTTAACTTCATGCAAGTCATGCTAAGGAACCCCTCCACCCCATTCCCCCAAATAAAATAAAACTTTTAAAAAAAATGGAAAGAAGGAAAAGAAATCCTCTACGGTCAGTTACCATTTGGCCGTAGAAAAAGCTACGTCCGTCCTAGTACAATGCCTGGGCCACTCGGACTCGTCCGGCAAACCTGCGTGGCGTGAATTTACTCTGTCCGAGGGTGAGGAGGGGCTGCAGGTCCACCCAGATGCTTAATAGCCACCAGTGTCCTCGGCCAAGCCGCCTGGTCAAGTCACTCTCACAGCCTCTGTCGGCATATACTTAGCAATGACAGGGCTTTCTTTGCAAAGATCTGTATGTAAAGAATACAATTAACACTTGAGCTTCTCTTCTTGGCCTTCCCATCCCGATTGGTACTTAGTTTTTAAGGAAGGAGGAGGAAAGACAGAACAGCCGCATGCAGAGGCAGGCAGGTTCTTCTCCAGCTGGCTTGTTTCCCATGCAGTGAGCCAGCCTAGCAGCCTCGTTCTCTCCCTCCTGGGGGAACCAGTGGAGTCCCTACTGCTACTCTGCACATGAGCTCAAACACTTGAAGGCCTTCTGGCTTGAAATCAACCTGAGAAAAGCAAGTTCTTGTGGCTATCGAGACCCCATAAGAGCGGAGCTGGGTGGATGTGGGTGGGGCCTTCACCCTTGGCACCTCCCAAAGGCTCAGGCACCTAAACCCATGTGGGTTCAGAAATGAGTATCACCTGTGGATGGTGGTGGCCGCACAGGGCTCTAGCCACTGCAGGGAGGCAGGGCTGCATGTGTCTCACGTCCCCTGGACCTCCGGAAGCACAGCAAGTCACTCTTCCTTTCTGCTCTTTTAGGCTGCACCAACTGATCCAACATCCAAGACAAAGGAGACAGGCAGCCCTGTCTCCTGAGTCGGGCACAGACTGGGAACAGTCTTCCCCCTTACTCTCCCACCCCCGTGGCCTCTGCTCTTATGCACTCTAGAAATCCCACCTAGGAAAAAGCCAGTTGCAAAGGAGCGCAACAGGCCCATCCTGGCAAGGATGGGGCCTTTTCCTGAGGCTGGCAGCCTTCTGCCGTGCAGCACCATGCAGGGGGTGGCACACCACACTGAGGTCCAGGAGGCCTTCCAGCAAGATAAAGAAGCAGGAACCAGCCGAAGGCACGTGGACATAACTAAGTACTGATGACCTAAGGACTTTCCTTCATCTCACAGTGGGCTGCCTTTCTGCTTCTAGGCCTACCCTTGATTTTGAAGTCTATTTTCTCCTTGTATCTGGATTAACCACTTCAAATCCTGGCGCAGTTGACAATGGCCACAGACAGTGTCAACTGTTGCTTTAAAAAAAATCCCAAAAACCAAAACCAAAAAAAAAAAAAACCAAACCCTCCAACTACTGGTCTGACACAGCCGAGGCTCACCCCCTCTTGGTCAACATGCATCTGTGTGAGCCTGTGTGGCACTCCAAGACATGCACGAGCTGGCCAGCCAGTCTAAGGCACTTAGAGAGGCTCCTTCAGCTTTCCAGGCCAAACCAGTGCCTAGAGCCTTGGCTAAGTGTTCTAGGCCCTTCCCCAGCCCATGCTCAAGCTCCAGTAAAAGCTATTCTTCAACAGGGTCAGCCTGAAGTTCTGACTGCAGCAAGGAGACCACTAGTCTCAACTTTTGCCAACCACAAGGGGGCGCTGACCATGTCAGAGCAGCGGCCCTTGGGCACTGATGGAAGGGGCTGCACTAAGTCCAACTTCCCCATCTTCTCTTGGGAGATTCTCTGCCACTAGCATAACCTGACTGGCGCATATCTTACCTCTGCAAGGACGGTGACCCTATCCCTAAGCCCTGAAATGACTGCTCTCTCCATTACTCCCACTGGCCTTTGATTCCCTTTAAAAGATGTCTCTTCCGTAGCATGGATCCATACCTAAGAGTCTTGGCCAACCCCGACTCGCCTTATTGCCCATCTCCTCCCCATGGGAGGAGAGATCATCGCTATTTGGATCTCCCCTGCCCCTGCCAACGTAGTCTAGGAGAGTCGAGGCTCCTCCTGTCTCCCTGGGTACTACTGCCATCGTCATAGCCTATAGGCAGCCTGTGGAAGCCCTTTTCTACGACTTAGCTCAATTATCAGCCCACAGCTCTGCTTCTCTCTGCCAGCCTGACATTCCACTTTGAGGGGAAAGGGACTCAGACCTCCAGGGACCATCCCTGGGCGCCTCCCTCTATCCTTCTGTCCTCACCACCACCCTTCATGTGCCTGCCTGCCCCTCAGCGCCCCTCACCCACCGCCCTGCCCACCCATCTGCAGGAGCGCGAGGCAGACCCAGCCGATGCACAGAGCTCCAGCTTCCTCTACATACCCTTTCTCATTCCTCCACCAGGTGGGCACGCGTACTCCCCGGTTGATAAGAGGAAGCAGGGTCCGTATCTCTCGCGGGTGCCCGAGCGGGTAAAGGGCAGGCCCTCATCGGGAGTGAGGGCCTGGTCTATGTGGGGGCAGTCTTCGTTCGCCAGCGCGGCCTTCGCCACCTCCCCATTCAGTTTGGAATCTTCAAACATATAAGCAGAAGCTATTGAGACACTGAAAACTGTTTAGTGAGGGAGGAACAGGCCAGAGGTAGGGCATTTGGCACCGGGGCAGCCGGTGTCGGAGGGTGGCAGGGGGTTAGGCCATGGAAGAGGGTGCGAGGCTGGGGAGAGGGGAGGAGCGGGCTCAGTCTATTCAGGCAGCCTGCAGGCTGCCTCCAGGACAGGGATGGAAGGACTCCTGGGTTTGCTCAAAGTTTGCAAAAAGATGAATTGGTGATGGGCCCAGTATATATGGTGCTGGGAGCCAGGTCCAGGGCCCAGAGCAGGGCTGATGAGACAGAATGATGTGGATGCAGTCATGGGGAGAGGGCCAGACACAGAGCTCAGGGAGAAGACAGACAGACACGCAGAAAGGTTCCAGTCCCGAGAGGTGGCCTTTCACACCCCTCTGCTACTGACTGGAGCCTGG